ATCTTGTCCATTGTCCACTTGACCTTTTTTGTTTTTTTCTCTGCCATTCACTTTCCCCTTTCTCCTGTCTAGAGGTCGGCGTCCTCCCTAAATCTGATGCAAATGGTGCTGACCAAGAACAAATATAATCACTCCCAGTTGTTCATCCCACAAAGCAAACCGCAAAGCAGTTTCATCACTGACCATCCAGTAGTTAAAACCGTTTCATCCATAATTGTCCAAGCAATAGAAGAAAGCAATAAAACTCTCCTTTGTGGAAAATACCATGCATGGCTCAGCTCCCACACATAAAACGAAAATTGGAATTTACTCCGTTTTCAGCACTAACTTTATGCTTTTTAGCAACTGCCTGGGTACCTGAATGATCATGTATCTGAAAATGGCTTTTCAAAGAGTTCCTAATAACCAAAGAGCAAAAATGTTTAATTGCACACAGATGATAAAAGCAAAATATTGCAACAACTTTTATAATGCTCGGTTGCTTTTCTTGGGTGTCATCCCTGACAACTGCCAAAAAAGATAAGATTTTACGTTTTAATTTTCAAAACAGAATACTCTGGAGCTAAAGCAATAGGAAGAAAGTCATATTCCCTTCTTTTTCAGACAGGCAGATTATACATAAAGCTATATTATTGACTTCTATATCAACTGTATCTACTCTGAGGATAAGCAGAAAAGGGAACGTTGTTCCAATTTTTTTAGAAAATATGTTCTTAAGAAATCTTTTAATGAAAACATGAAATTCCTACCCTTTCAGAGATTCTATGGGCTTTAAATCTGCAAGACCTCAGATTTCCTTTTCAAGTTCGCAGACACTCAAAGGTCAAACCTAAACATGTGCGCATTTCAGGGAAGATGGAAGGAACCTTTCCTATTTCTCTGCCCACATGACTTGCCTTCCAAGAGAGCTTTTTTGGCCCTCTGTATTTTGTCCCCAAGTTCAATGGCTTTTCACAGCCTGGCATGCCTTTCTGCAGCATCAGAGGTGGTCCCCTCCACTCTCCATTAGATACTGCCAGCCCGCAGGCTGCCCTCAGCTCTTACGTGAGTCTTTTTGCCACTTCATTGCTTTTTTTCAACATTACCTTTTTCTTTTCTTGCTGTATTCAGAAAACAATGTGGTTTCCTTGTCTGTAAAACTGGAATTGTATCACTCTAAGTACTTCCCAGAGCTGTTATGAAGAATGAATAAGGTCACAGATGTTAAAGCATCTTTGTAAACTTGAATTTGCCATCTAGGTGTTGGTTTGCCTGGTAATAGATAGCATCCTGGTCACATTTTTTTTTCTCTCTTTTAAATTCATCCATCACCTAAGTTGCACTTTTCTAACTTCTGCCTATCTTTTGCTTTGTCCTTTCCATTGAGGTTTATAATATTTTCTCATAAATTGCCCCTCAGAGTTGAAGTCTTCTCACCCAAATACACTAAATACCCTCTGTCCTTTGTGGAAATCTACTATAAATCCTGTCTCCTCCAAGTTTGGCCAACAATTTTTGTTTTCTTCTAAACACTACATGCCACAACCTACTGTACCGTATAAGTTAATCTAAAATTGTATTTCATTTTCAATATACTTTCTAACATTCTACCTATAATCCTAAGGTGTAGGCAAATGCACCAAAAAAAAAAAAAAAGGCAAAATTTAAAGCACTAATCAAACAAGGCAATCACAAAATATCCTCACAAAACAGTTTAGATACTTACAAATTCTGTTATTAGAAGTGATTCGTTAAGAATGCCCTCGGAAATAGGGATTTGGAAAAGAAGGAATGGTTTCTTTAAATAGGATTCTTTTTTTTTTTTTCATGTTTATGTATTTATTTTGAGAAGAGAGAGCATGTGAGCACAAGCAGGGGAGGGTCAGAGAGAGGGAGAGAGAGAATCCCAACCAGCCTCCACACTGTCAGCACAGAACGTGATGTGGAGCTAAAATTTATGAATCATGAGGTCATGACCTGCCGAAATTAAGAGGTGGACGCCTAACCAACTGAGCCATCCAGGTGCCCCAGTAAGGTTCTTTTATTTTTGATCTACCAAAGAGAGGCACGTGTATTTAGAGTCATGTGTCATCACTTATCTATTTTACTATCAGTGTATATGAAGAACCATAGCAATGCACTAAGGAAAGGACCAGTAGTCAGGGCATTTCTTTTCCAAAGTTATATGACTCCTAGTTCTTTTTCTTGGAGAATCTTAAGGCTTACAGCAGAGTTTCCCCCCAAAATTAGTGGTTCTTAAATAGCCCATAAGGACTAATATGGTATGAAACAACAAGGAAAACTTTAAACTCAGGCTTTTACTGATTACATTTTTCTTCTTAAAAAACACTTACATTAATAAGAGAAACCAGAGAGAATTGTAATGGATTCAAGGCGGTGTGGGACTGGGGAAAGTTGCCAGATGTCGTTTTTTCTATGAGGAGTTTATTTGAAACTACTGTGCAAAGTATAAATAAATTGACTCATTCTTCTTTCTTTGTTCTCATCTTTGTTTGGAGTTCCTCAACTTCTTTTAAGCCTATTTATCCTGAATATGCTTTAGAGGTTACTGCATTCCAGGAATTTGGGACCAGCCACTCCATAACTTCTCAGGGGACAACGTCTTCTCTTTGCCACTTGGAAACATTTCCCAGACTACGTGGGAAGGGAGGGGATGCTTCTGATGAGACGCGAGTGGACAGACAGTAGCCTTTTAAACAAATTGTCTTAGCAATCATAATTTACATATTCATAAATTATGAATTCATGGATGAAAGCATGGCTCTTGTCAGCTTATGAACACAAATGTTGAACGACACAAGTGGACTTCAGGGGCCCAGGGGCCACACCTTGAGAACTGCTACTTCAGATCAGGGTTTGAGCTGGGTGTGGGAAAGGTTGGGGGGCTGAGGGGAGTGGGGAGCAGACTGGTAAAGTTACTGGTTAATCCAGACTCCTCACTTATGACCTAAAACTCCGTTCATGACCTGGCATCTCTTCTGCTTGCCTCCTATGCTCCAGCGGCCTTGGTCTGATAATGCATTTACTCGCTGACTCGGTAAATATTGACTGAGCACCTACTGTGTACCTGACACAGAGCTGACTTTGTCGGGCTTTATGCCTGCTTTTTCATCTCCTTGGACCACTCCTTCCTAGATTCTCTGCTTGGTTATCTTCCTCTCAACCTTTAGGTCTCAGCTTTAAACACACCCCTACGATAGGGCCAGACCTTTTCTGACCACCCAAGGGAAAAGTGTCCTTTTATAATTATTCCTGTCATCAATCCATTTGTTTAATTCAGCACATTGAGGACACTTGTTATAATATAATGCTTGTGACTGCCTGCCTTTCCCAGGCATATGGAGAATTCCCTTTGGGCAGAGTCTTTGTCTATCTTGTTCTTCTTGCTTGGTTAAAAGTTTCAACAAATATTTGTTGAATGAATGGATGAAGGAAGGAAGGAAGGAAGGAATCTTTGTAGCTGTTCAGTAAATACTGTCATGTGAATAAGTACTCTAAGCAAGTGCTTCTAAACATGTTCTTGTTGGATGCCTCAAATACCTTGGAAAGAAGGGAGGAAAAGAGAAGAGAAAAAAAGGGCAAAGGGATAAAAGATTGATTTTGAACAGAAAGAGGTGGGAGGGAAGATAAAAGGAGGAAAGGAGAGAGGGGAGGAATTCCTATTCTTCAGTATGATGGTTCTCAGGTGCAGCATGGCATCTTCTGAGAACTTGCTAGAAAT